TCCCCATCCCACTTCTCCCACTGAGAAGCCACACGCTCCTCTGGTGGCCTCTTGGGGATTTCCCTGCTGCAGCCCAGTGGAGGAAAAGGACCCTGGTTTTGCATTCAGCAAAGCAGCCACTCTCTGGACTCACCTGAGGCCACGGCAGATCCTCCCTGTTCCTCCCTATCTGGGTGATCCCAGCAGGAGCAGCTTGGCTGTGCAGGCAGAGCCAAGCCCAGAGCTCAGGGCTGCTGAAGGACACGCTGGGCTGGAGGTGCTCAGGTGCTCAGGCATCTGATGCCTCTTCCCATGGGAACACATTTACCAAAGATGAGCAACATCCTGGCTCCATCCCTGCTGGCCAGCCTGGGGCTACACACCAGAGAAGGAGTTCCCACAAATGCCTGCAGAGCAGGAGGGTTGTACCCAGCAGTCAGGCCAGGGAGGGTCCATGGGGATCTCCACCAGGCTCTCCTTGGCCTCCAGACCTCCCCAGAGGCTCCAGCCACTGGCCCATGTCTTCCTAAACCTTTCTCTACAGAAATTCCTGTCTTGTTCTGGCCCCAAACCTCCCTCCATCCTCTCACCTCCCCCTGTGAGGACAGGGGTCCCCAGAGCACCCCCTGTGCTCATCCCCATGTTAGTTTTCAAGTGATGGTGAAATTTGGAAACAACCAAGGTAGGAGAAGGAAAGTAAAACAGTGGGGACCATCCCTAGGATCTAAAAGGCAGAGGAGAAAGATGTAAAACAACTCGACTCAGCTTCATAATGGAGTTTGAGCTGAGGGAACCTAATCAGGAGGAAAATGTAGCTGAAATGCAAGAGCTTCAGGGAGCAACAGGAGCTGGTGGGTTTCACATGGGAAGAGACTCATGACCCTGCAAGAGCAGCTGGGCCAGGAGGTGACAGGGGGAAGTGGTCCCAGAGACAACGTAGAAGGCAGGTGGGATTCTGCAGAAAGGGGTTGGAAGGAGCTGTTTGGCTGAGCCCATGCACAGGGAGAGGTGTGTGTGCAGGGAGCCCAGCAGTGTCCCCACCACCCCCAGAGCCCTCCTGGCTGTTTGCACAACTACAGATGTACACAGTGTGTACACACCAAGCACAAAGCCTCAGCCTGGGCCACCTACCAACTCAGTGTTCCAGGTTGATACCAAGCACCTTCCCCTGCTCAGACACCTGTTTTCCTACTCCCACCTAATAAAAGAGGGGGTTTTCCCCTTTTTTTCAGCCTGTAAAATCACTCACACACACACACAGAGCAGGTAAAGGCAAAAAGAACCTTTGCAACAGGAGGGAACAGAAGAACAACCACATCTCCACAGGATAACATTTTATTACAAAACATGAGATGGATTAATAGTTGTAGGGGGGTCTCGGCAGGTCTGTAACAAACAAAAGC